TCTCTCTACATATATCCCAGTCTTTTAGCCAGTGCAGAGGTCATATCAGCCAGCAGCACCTCCCTCATGTGGTCTTCTCTTCTCTGTAGCTCGTGGACAAAATGCCCCTTCAGCTCCATTACCTCCATCACACGCTCCACCAGCTGCCTGCGTGTAACACTTCTTTCCTCTGCAGGGCGGTCGGGACTATTATCCACCAGCTCAGGCCTCTGGCCACACAGTGCCACAGCCCTTTTCAGATTTCCAGCATCTGCATCAAGCAGCTGATCTAAAGTGTTCCTTCGACCCAGACGGTCTGCACGAGTGAGCACTGGGATAATGTACCTCTTGACTTCCACACCGAACAGTTCCATTGTGGCTTGGACTGCTTGGGCAGCATCCTGCTCAGCCCCCTTGGTGAAACTTGGAGCACGCATCACTAGTAGAAAGGCATGTGGTCCGGGACTGGCGAGCTGGACACTCCTCAGAACTTCCAGTGCTCTCTCTTTGTTCCCTAGTGACGTCCCCAAAAGATCTGGGGTCTGAATTACTATAAGTTCTCTACCATCTATAAAAGCCCTTTGCACAGTACTCTCCTTTAGAGGAACCCTTTTGGTGCTTCTCTCACTGTTGTTCATTAAAGTATCTGCTAAGGAAGTCCGTCCTCCACCAGGAAGCCCCAGGAGGACCAGCCTGAGACCTGGTTTCTTGGGAATGCTGCCGCCAGAGGGATCAAGCATTTGGTTCAGTAAGCTGCTAATGACTTGATCATTCTGTGAGTTCAAAGACCCGTCTCTGGATGAATCTACAGAGATAATACAATATTATTTTATAATTTAAAAAAAGCCTTATGGGGTAAAGCTGTGATTCTAAATCAAAAAGAGCTCAATCTGATGATCTAAAATTTCTTTTTTTTTTTTCATTTTCTCAGTTGGGAAATTTATAAGAAGAGCCTTAAGAACTTGTGTGGAATAACAATATTTGCTGCCGAAAACAATACAATACATGCCAAAGATGGTGATTCAGGAAAAGAGGGCACATCGCTGCCTCACTTACATACAGTCAGTGACATAAGAATGAATTTTGTGTCACATCAGTGAA